GGTCCCTTCATTGCACATTAGCTTAGTGTAGTTTTCCAGCGACCGGCCAAACACCTTGTAAGCCACGAATAAGGATCTTTGTCCACACCTCAAGTGTACCCAGAAAGCGACCAGGGGACCTCAACGAGCTTGTTTCTTGGGCAACCGGTTAGAGCCCGGCTAATCCGGGTACATCTTGCACTCTTCTTCGTTATAATGTTTGTTGGGTGTAATACCAAAAATAGAATAACTGAATAATAGAGAAAAAATATCGCCCTGTTTCATTGACAAGCAATGTTAATATTTATTTTACATACAATTTTCTGACATCGACTTCAGTTACGACTTTGGTGTGTAAGGAAACAAATCGTTTGCATAGCTAGACAATAAATATTAATATTTTTATAAATATTTTTTTAACTAAATTACACCGGCTAAGTGAGACGTTAAACTAAAACATATAAAATGAGTGTAATCCTTTCGACTGTCAAGTGTTTTGTATTCGCTTTTAATTTTTTTAGTTTGGTAAGCACATAAGACAAAATATAATAAAAAAAAATGCCATGCAAAAAAACAAAACTGTTTGCTTTTATTATCGACAACTACACACACTAGCGGCATTAAAATCAGCACTTGTCGTGTTACTGACTGATTGACCTNTGCCATGCAAAAAAACAAAACTGTTTGCTTTTATTATCGACAACTACACCCACTAGCGGCATTAAAATCAGCACTTGTCGTGTTACTGACTGATTGACCTAAATATTTAATATTATTATTATTGTTTGTTTATTTATTTGCCATTTGCGCTAATATTGCTATTATTTATTTCACCTCTTTGCACAGATACTTGGCATTTGTATTGTTTGTTTGAACACTTTCGGCTTGGAGTATGCCATACCGAATACGGACGAGCACACCTACTGTATAGTTGGTATCATTTTGGGCTCTTTTGTATGCATGGCCACGCTTTTTGGCTGTTATGGTGTTGTCTGCGAGTCGTTAGGCGTCAGTGTAATTGTGAGTTATTGTGTTCTGTTTTGCTTGGAGTTTTTGTTTATTTACTTACATACTCACCTTTTTATTTGCAAAAAATTTACACCTCAAAGTACTCGTTCTTCATGCTGATGTTGTTGGCAGCACAATTGCTGCAAATGCAGACGTATAAACATCAGAAGTTCTTCACGAATGCGCTGGATCTGCTGGAGGACGCATGGGATGAAGTTGGTGTAGATCCAGAGACAATGCACTCGGTGGAGTTAAATGTAAGTGAAGTGAAGTAATGTTTTTTTTATTCTTTGTTAAGATGACTTACATAATTTAAGTAAATGTTTAAATCTAACTGCGGTTTAGCTTAGTTTAAACGCTCGAGCTAGGTGGCTTAAACTAAGATTAGCGAATTAAATGTCAGCCAGCTGTTATGAACGCAATTCACCTGATCTAAGTTTAAACATGCACTGAAAATTTGGGCCCAGGTTTTAATATTTTTTTTTGTAAAAGTACACTGTCCGAAAAAAGTAATGGCACG